GCGCATTCTCCATTGGCGGAGCGGCACCCCGGCCGCCCGTGACTTCGCGGTCGCCTCGGGGCTGCGGGGCGACTTGCTCGCCGCTTCGGCTGCCGCGCCCAGCGCCGCGGCCAAGCGGTGCGAAGAGCAAAAGCGCATCCTCCTCGACGCCGGGCGCGTCTGCGCCGCCGCCGGGATCACCTTCATTCCCACGGTGGTCGAGGCGCACGGCGGCGGCTAGGGCGGGGCGCGACGCGCCCTGGCCGCCCCGGCCAAGCGCGGCGGGCGCCGCGGGGGGCGACCCCTCGCAGGCGGCGGCGGAGCACGACCAGCGACTCGCATCTCCTTCCAGGAGGAGAACGCGCGGGACGCGCTCCGCAGGCTGCAGGCGCCGGCAGGGGCGCCCGCGGCCAGGCCAGCGGCGGCTAGCGCGGCCGACGCCGCCTGAGCCGCCGGCCCGCTTCCCCCATGCCCCTCGACTGACCGCGACGCCCCCCTGACCGCGACCAAACAACGAAGACAACATCGGAACACTAGCGGGGCAGCACGGGACACCACGGGACACCACAGGACACCCAAAGGGACACTACGGCGGGACAATTTGGGCCACCGCCGGACAACCGCAAGGGGCAGTCTCTTGGCCCGGGGCCCGGCGGCGCCCTAGCCAGAGGAGGGGTCATTCCTTTTGCCTGCCCACGCAGTTTCGCTTCGCCTGCGCGCGCGACACGAACGCGAAATTGAAACCGATTTCTTGGTAAAAGGGAGTATCCGTTTCACTTCCCGTTCGCCCCCCCAACTTCCGATATACATACATATATATATATATATAGAGAGAGAGAGAGAGAAACAAAAAAAGAGAGAGAGAGAGAGAAACAGAGAGAGAGAGAGAGACAGAAAGAGAGAGAGAGAGAGAGAAAAAAAAAGAGAGCGATATATAATAATATCTAGAGAGAGAGAGAGAGAGAGAGAGAGAAAGAGAGAGAGAGAGAGAGAGAAAACAGGAGAGAGAGAGAGAGAGATATAACACACAAACGCAAAAAGGAGAGCGTCACAGAGAAAGAGTGTGAGAGAGAGAGAGAGAGACAAGAGAGAGAGAGGAGGGGAAATTAGCCTTTCTGCAATGACTTTTGAGGTGATTCGGGACATGGCTGCCTCGGGGTCCACTTGCTGCATCTTGGGGGCGTAATGTTGGGCCGTTTTGGAGCGCGTTGGGGCCGTGAGTGGTCCCTCGTGGGTCACGTTAGCTTTTTCACGGGGCCGTCTGGGGCTGTTTGGGCTATTTCGTTGGTTTTGGGGCCTCTTACAGAACCTCCTGGGCCGTCTTATAGAACCTCCTGAGCGTCTCTGGAGACCTCTCGCGGGCCACCTTCGAACCTTGTGGGGCATCTCGTGCTCGCTTGGTGGCCGTTGTAGGCTGCCCTGGAGGTTGCCCTGGAGGTCTTCCAGAGCTGTTCGGGGCTACTCTATGCTGTCGCTCGGGGAACAGGGCACTATGATCCACCTCCTTACCAGCCTGGCCCTTCTGAGTTGGGGCCAGTCCGGGGGGGGGACTAAAGATTGGGGGATCTCACGCGCTTGGTGCCTCCAATGGGGTCGGCAGATTTTCGCAACAGGTTTCAATTGCAGCGCCGCGTCCAGTGGGAGCACCTCGGCGAATAGTGCGAAGTAGACTCGCTGGAGCGTGAATGGCTTGTGTCACGATGTGAACCATATCGTGGGGCCCAAACCGCACTTTCGACGTATGATGCCTTCCAATCGTGGTGTTTCGCACCCCGCCCTGTTTTGTGTAGAGTTCGCATGTCAGCAGGTTTTCGGAGATGATCCTTCATGGTGGTTCTATTTGAGACATTTTGAGACGTTGCAGCTTTGATGAGCAGTATTTGTTCAATCCAGGCTTTCAATACGCGTTCACTTTTTGACCCGGCCCCGATCAAATGAATTGTTGTCATCGTCCCAATTCAATATTTAAGTGTGTGGTCGTTTGTCATGTTATTTCTCGAATTAGTTAGGGCTATATATATATATATGTTGTAAGTTTGTGTGTGTTGCCTCGCTTAGAAGGTGTTCCTTTGTAGCTGTGTTCCCACTGCTTCGAAATCCAGGTTGTCGAATCCAGGCACACGATACGTTTGCACGGCCTGGGATGAGGATGTGATGTTGTCGTATAGACCTGTGGCAGTCAAGCCAGCACATGCAGGCAACGCTAGGACAAATGCTATGAAGCCTATTCGTCGTCATGATTAGTCGTGTCGTGTTGTACCCTTGGCGCGGAGGTTGCTCATCGGTTTTGAGGCCCCATTCTCTCCGAATTCGCGCTCGTGTGTACATACTCGCGATCACCTTCTTTCTCATTCGGGCAGTTGTAGGCCGTACAGTGCCACGGATGGCAGCGGGCCTTTTTACAAATTGGCACACAACGTCGTGCCTTTGAAGCGTTTCCCTGGGACGTGGGACGTGATATCGGGCAGGCCTACTCTTGCAGTCCTTCCTCTTCCTCCTAATCCTCTTTCTCCTTGCCCTCATCAACCCCCTTCCCTCCTCCTCCCTCGTCCCTCGTGGGCCCCCTCCCCTCTCCCTCCTCATCCTGTTTCCCCCCGCCTTTTTTCTTTCCTCCGCTATCTCCCTCCTTTTTCCTTTCATTCCTCCCCTCCGCGCCCTTAACTGCCTACCTACTTACCTACCTACCTGCCTACCTGCCTACCCTCTCATCCTGCCCTCATCGGGCCTGCGAGCTACGAGAGCAAGCCAGAGGAGGAGGAGGAGGAGAAGGAGGCGGAGGAGGCGGAGGAGTGTCCCCGTTCTCCCTTCTTGGGGTTCTGGGGTTGTCTCTCCTTTCCCCTCTCTTCGGGCTTTCCGTTCCCTAGCCCCCTCTCCGCCGCTTTTCGGTTGTAGGGTGCCTCTACGTGTAGAGACACAGGTCTGTTCATCGCGTAAAGAAGTAACTCGTTATTTCTCCTCCCGTCCCTTTGATCCTCATCAGAGACTGCCGATCCCGCGACAGTGGTAAGCGGAGTTCGTGGTTATCGAATTGACCGAAGGACGACGAACCCAGGTTCCAGATCGTGAGGATAGAACTGTGTCTCGCCCATCACGGGCCCCGATTTTTGTTTCCACTGCGTACCCGCCGAGGGCGATGATGCCGCCACCTCCCTGAACACGGGCACCCAGACGGACGACCCCAGCCCCGACGATTCAGCTGGTGGAGTCCTACCTGGTGGACTCCGGCGACCCCGTGGAGTCCGAGCTGGTGGGCGGACGCCTGGGAGTCTCCCCAGGCCGCCGGCGCGGCCGACGACGCAGGCCAAGCCTTGGCGCCCGCAGCCGGGCAGTTTGACCCCTGGCGCGCCGCGGCTGACGCAGCGCCGGCCCCGCCCCCCAAGCCAGAGGCGTCGAGCTCCGACTTCTCGTGACTGGTGGCGCCCCAGCGGCCGCGCGACCGTTCCTGCGCCTCCGCGCGACGCCTGGTTTGACGCGGGCGCCTACGGCCCTTCCTGGGAGTGGTGGAGCTCAGGGAGGGGAGGCTGGGCCCCACCCGCCAAAGCTAACCGGTCCCAGGATTTCGGCCCGCCCCCGACCTGGCTCGGGATGGGGCGTCTAGAGCTGTAATTACGCCCGGAATGTGAGAGCCTGGGCCCGACGCAGGGGGCATCCCGTCGAGGTCCATGCCTTTCGGCTTGCGGAGTCCTTGCCTGTCGAGTTCCAGATCATTTTTTGCCCGATGTGGAACACCCTTGATTATGCCGAGGGAGCGTCTCGTCAGCTGGCCCACCTGGCGGTGTTCAACGGCCGGCGCCCTGGCGACGAAAAACGTTTTACCCATAGCTATGCGTTGTTCGATTACATGATCAGAAAAAATGAGACCCTGACAACGTCGTGATCATCAGTCGGCCGAGGTCGAAACAAGAGGATTTCCCCTCGTCGAGGAGGGCGCGAACCTCGTCCGCCATACTGAGATAAATATGAAGACGCTGGCCAGCGGCAACAAGTCTGCTGAAGCTATTCGCGCTGCTCTCCTGCAGCTGGGTGTGGCCGAGAAGCAGATTTTGCCATCGGCCCCCCCTCCCACGGCGAAAGCCTACGCGGCCGACGGCATCGAGCCCCCGCCGTCCCAGGTCTACTACGAGGAGGAGGACGACGACGCCGAGATGTCAGGGGGCGAGGCGATCGCCTTTCTCGCGGCGATCGAGTCCAGGGACTTAGACGAGATCTAAGCACTAGAAGTTTCTGGGGCCGCTCTGGGGGAGAAACGCGGCAGGAACGGCGTCGCGCTAGGACCGAGGTTAGAATATTGAAGGTTAAGATCCCCACTGTAGGCTTTGGGCCTTGTCGGCTCCTCGTGGTTTTTGATGGCAGAATCGTGTTCGCGTGAAACATAGTTTTCTCATGGTCGGGCGTGCTTCGGTGGATCCCCAAGTTGAGTTTGCCATGGGGGCCGTTGCCTCTCAGGATTCTCTGGATGGTTGCGCCCGCGCCTGCGGGGTCGCGGCGGATGCGATTTGCCCGCCGTGTCATGTGAGGTACCAAAGTCCTACTTCCCCCTCCCTTCCTCATGCCTTCTTCCCCCCCCACCACCAATTGCTTTATTTCCGCCTGTCTCCCCTCCCTCCCCTCCCTCCTCCCGCTCCTTCTCGCGTTTCCTGCCTCCTCCGCCTCCGTCCTTCCCACTTCACGGCCGACATGGGGGGAATGCGACGTTGGGGAAGGCGATGCACTTGAGGGGAAGGCTGCGATTCTGAATCATATATATATATATATATATATAGTGGGGGGAGATCGCTTCTGAGTCAGAGGAAGAAGTCGCACGGGGGGTCGCTTCGTTCGCGCGCTGAGGCGTCGCCGTTCTGCTTCGGGAGGGGTCGGTTCGAGGATCACTTGCGGCGCCTTCGCCCTCGCCACCCGCCCTCCTCGTTTTCCAGTTCCCCCTTTGAGCTCATGTCCCAACTCGGTCCTCCTACCCCTTGCTCCCCTCCTCCAGCCCCCGTCGAGTTGACGGCCTCTGAGGTCGCAAGAGAGCCCCACGATACAACCCAAGAATGCAACAATACGGCCCAAGAGGGTCCCAAGACGGCCCAAGATGCCACCCATCTTTGAACGAATAGCCACAATACAGGGTCGATGAGGACCCTCAACCCACATGTCAGCGTTCCCATGAGCGCGACAAGTTGCTTCCAGTCTGGTGATCCGCTTCTTCGCCGAACCACAGCGGGGAACGCACGGTGGCGAACGGAAATAAGCATGGGGGATGGGGGAGGAGGGCAAGGGAAGATGAGGCCGACAGGGGTGGATGTGGAGGGAAGGAAGTTGGGGGGATAAACGTATTTCGCGCGAGACGTCCTCTCAACGATTGTGTTTGTTTAGGTTATGCATTGGTCCAGGCCTTGAGTTTCGAATGCCCCCTCCACCCTCAGACATGTGCCGCGCCCCCGTGCTTGCCATTCGCATTTCGTTTCAAACCGGGGTTCCTTGTCATTCCTTCAGTCACACGTCTTATCCTTCACGTTTATATGTCGTTGCATGTCCGATGATGATGCTGAAGACGATTGGATTGGGGCCCGCATCGGGCGCGGCAGTGGGTCAGCATCGCAAGAGGCCATGGCCATGGCGCAGGAGCCAGAACCAGATGCCACATCGGATGCCCCCGTGGAAGAGGCCGACGATGCTGCCCACGAGCCGTGGTATCCAGTTTCAGCTCCAGAGGCCGCGGCCATAGTCGAAGAGGCCGACGTTCCAAACTCAGAGGTCATCAGAGACCCTGCTGCCCCCCGTGAACGCCAACCTCGGCGCCCGATTCGTTTGAGTCAGCCTACTCGAAATGTGACTAAACGCACGCATGGGGAAACAACAAGAGTACGACATCGGCGCCAGTTGGTGAGACGGAGTATGAGCGATTGTGCGGACGTATGTTGCTACCACACCGTGATGATTGTGCAAAATTGTTGGGTTCGGAGTCGTTGGCACGAGACATATGCCTCGATCGTAATCGTTTATTGGACATGGCATCGGCATGTGCTTTCGCTTCGTACGACACGGTGAGGATGGCAATGCCCCAATATATTCAGAGAGCCGTAGAAGCGAGCAGAACCAGAACACCCGGAGCTATCCTCCAACCCGCCTGCGCGATCCGATACCGCAACTATGATGGGACAACGTGCAAGAGAGTGATTGATAGAAACGTTACAGAAGATGATACAGGTCAAAGGTTGAGAGTAAAACAAAAAGGGCCCCATGAGTTGTTATTCGCCGAAAGTTGCATGGCGATTTGTTTCCGTCGGATCTCGAATAGTTTAAGCCGCCTATTGATTATGAAGTTGCCCCAGCCTTCGCTTCTTCAGGCAATTAACAGCGCGAGATCGGAACGCATCGCAGCAGCATTGAAGCACCTGGAGTTGCCGCGCGATTTACTGGTAGATGGTTCCTTCCCTCGCGTCATCGACGCTTTTTCTTGTGATGCATTTGGCGGCGATCTTAAAGCCGAGCGGGCCCTCCTGCGAGCGCGCCCGAGCAGATCGTCGATTGTTTTTCTTTGCGATGCACATAAACAAGGCAACGGTCTCAACGTTGCCATTCGCCACGCTCAAGCCCCTCGACGCGCAGCGCGTGCGATTTGCATTGGCCGCGCAAGGCAGCGCCGCGGCCGACCCGCGGAAAGAGATTTGGATAGCGATTTCAGAGCAGCTGGTGACCATGCAATCTGGAAGAGGCGCCCCAAGAATGCCAGTGACCACAGAACTCGCATATATGAGTTGTCTATTTCTGGAGAGCACCGCGCGCAAATATCGACGCGACGTGGTTTCTCGTCTATGGAACGTTGACATTCGCAAGCGTGGCCGAATAGAGCATTATGGGGTGGGTTGCTGTTCTTCTTGCAGGGATGCGCTAAATATGATGTGCAGAGAAGGCCCCCGATGCCGGTGCAAATCAGGGATGGCCGTGCTTCAGCGGAACAACTGGACTGGGGCGAGTGAGCGCATCGATGGGATTGGTCTTGTCGCCCACGTCCACGGGATTCTCGGTCAAGCGCGGCTGCGGTCGGTTGGGCGCGCGGAGTGCGTTCGCGGCACGGGGCCCCGTCGCAGGCGGGAGGGCGCAGGCGATGGCCAGCCAGGCTCTGATGCCCCGGGCGTCTCCAAGGGCGATGGCCAGGAGAGAGACCCCTTGGGCGATGGCGAATGTGGCGATATTTCAGTTTGGCGCCAGGACATTCAGGCCGGAGTTCGCGACGCCAGATCTTGGATTCTCAGCGGTTGTTTCGGGGACGACTTGATCATTGCACGTGTGCGCTATGGGCCGACAGAGAAATTGATCTTGAGGCAGCTGGCAGTTTCTGGCATTACTTGGGAGCGCAAACAGCAGATCCAATATCTTAGCACAGGTTCTAGAACTGATCGGATTACGGGAGCTTTCGACGGCGAGCCAGAGCAGAACTTTCTTGAAGACGTAACTAATCTGATGACGCACGGCGGCTCGTGGTACACATTGTCAGATCATGCGGAGTTCCGTTCTATGCAGATGTACGTGTTG